GGGGGGGGGGGGGTAATGGCCCAATTATAAGATGGATTTATACATGTGAAATCTTTTCAAAAATAAAGCAAAAAGTTGAAAGTAGACATTATGCACTAGGTGTGCTAATATCATCCATTCCTACACGGAATCCAACCACCATTGAATTAGAAGTAGAAGTAGTCATGGGAATCCACTCTCATTTCTGGATTGAACCATACATCCACATACTATGTTACACTACATGTACACTAGCACTGCACACACTTACCATGTACTATATCTTTATTGTAGAGAGGTTTTAATGGTGCCGCAGCATGTGGAGGATATATATACAATGATCGATTGCTGAAGTATAACGCCATGAACCTAGACAAGGATTCTACAACAGGTTTTATACTGGTCCTATTGACACACGGGAGGATAGGAGCCGCTTCCTAGACAAAATAAACATTGCAATGAGGTCAGTGAGGAATCTGAAATGTACTCAATCAATGAACAGCATAGAATGAAGAATATCTTAGGATGAGGATGATATGTTTTGAGGCTAAAGTTTCAAGTTTTGCCGTTATTTTAGAAACTTGCACGCTCCAGTGTAAAAACATTCCAATTTTGTCTGCAGAATGCCTGGCAAATTAGCAAATAAATTCTGTGAGCTAGTAATCAACCTGCCCCCTTCTTGAACGGAAAGTGACGGCGCTATAATTCAAACTATTTATTTCATGGTTTACTTTAAATTAGTTATCTCTGATACAAAATTTTACTACTGTGAAATACTTTATTTTCGCTTGGAATTAATTTTCGCTATTTTTGCTGACGGGATGATTCAGTGAAAATACATTTTTTCCTATGTTTTACATTCAATTTGTCAAAAATCAGTAAAAAAGTGTTTTCAGCGAAAATTATTTCCAGCTTAAATAAAGTATTCTACAGTATTCCGATTCATGAAGAGGCAATACAATCAACACAAATGACATATCTTTTAAAGTTGAGAACATACTTCTAATCCATTTTATGATTTACATGGTTACGCTTTTATTTGACAACAGAGAAACAGGATCCAAGCAAACATATCTTATCTTACCTGTGGACCTAGCATGTTGGTGAACACAGACATGAAGGAAGCATCAGATTTACAAAGCTTGAGCTGCTGCTTGAATGAGCGTGAACCACCCAAGCCCGGCAGCTCAGAATAACAGTCGATTAACGAATCCACAAGCTGCAGAGCACCCATCAGATTAGATTGTTGTAGCTGAGTGTACAACACAGCTAACAGTGACTGTGTTTCTAATAAGGGATATGATGTCAGGGATGGGTTTTCAGCCATGCTGATCTCTTCAGCTATGTCCCGCCAGGTTTCGATGGCCTGCGAGAGATGACCAGCTTCATAATGCATAGCACCTATGGAAACAATAATTTTCATTTTTAAACTGGTACCAAGATTACTTTAATGATAGTGTAACTTTAAAGGCAGAGCTCTTCAAATGACAGTGTACCTTTAAAGACAGAGATCCATTAATGACAGTGTACCTTTAAAGACAGTAATGACAGTGTATTTTTAAGAGCAGAAATCCATTAATGAGTGTAATTTTAAAGAAAATGCTCCTATAAAGACAGACCTACCCCAACCACTATTACATTTTAATCTCACCTTTGAGAAATACTCGATTGAGATTCCTCTTCCATGTTCTATCTTCTACAATATCAAATCCTAAATCATGTAGTTTCACCTGCGTTGCACATAACAATAAGATCACCTTCTGCTGTTTCACAACAATTTTATTATCCATACTGTCAGTAATATCACTAGCTTTAGTGAGTCTGTGTGATAACTTGGAATGGTATCGTAGTAGCTGTCTATACAGAGACTTCCAACTTAACATTAGCCTGTGAACCAATTGAACACATGTTAATGTATAATCTGGTAAATAATTTGGCTCAGTTCACTTATCAAAACTTGTAATTTATTTTCAATATTAGATAGCAGCCAAGACATTTTTATTTCATAAACATTTGTTATATGGGATTGTCACTGCGAACAATACATTACATAAGCCTGCAAAGGAATCCTTGTTATTAATAAACTATGGTTGCTGATTTTTTGTAATTCAAGACAGTTTTACATGATTTTATTTTATATGTCAAGCACTAGTTAGCATTGTTTTTCTGCAAAAATAAATTGATAAATAGGAATGACATACTGATCACTCACCTTTTTGCTGGAGTGTGTTTCAATGATACAACACTTTCCTCCACAATCTTGAGCTGATCAATCTCCTCTCTGGCTTCACGTACAGAGTCTCGTAAACTTCTTGCACTCATAGAGCCGCGCTGACTTCTCGCACTTAATGAACCCTCATAGTCAAACTCTCGCAGACTAGCACGTCGACGAGTCAACTGCCGACAGAGAACCGTGCCCTCTACATTGTCTGAAAGATGAAATTCAAACTCTGATGCTGAAGAGTCTATATTCATGGCTTTTGGAAGCCAGCTGTATGCGTTGTTTATCGCCTTCTCTGAATACAGTAGGATGTGGTAACAGCAGGCCAGCGTTTTGAAGTAAGACTGTCGTGTGTCGGTCTGCAGTAAGGTTTGGCATAGACCTGTTACGAGTCGTAGAGTATAAGAAGAGGAATTTTGATGTACAGTATCCCAACCCAGTACGCTAAGAGCATGACGAAGCAACATCAGTATTCGATACATGTCTGGCGATGTTGCAAAGAGTTTAAAAATCCTCTGCAGCAGGCCATCGTCCTGCTCTATCTTAGACACTTTAGAATCTGGTGCTGTTTTCAACAACAGCTCACACAGCTTTATCATACTGTCAACGGTAATCACCATGATTTTATCAAGTTGTGTTGTCCATATGCCGGTATATGAGATTCCCAATCCCCAAGCAGCTTGCAGTGATGTCTGCACGGCCTGTAGATGCTTTGTGGTGTCAAAATCCGGAGTCTCTCCTCGCGACCCACCAGTCCTATTGAATTCATCCATACCATCACCGAACATTAACTTTCCCTCATCAAGATCATTCAGTCCTAGAAACTCACTTGGCGACATAGAACTTCCTGTACTTAAACCCATAGTATCCCCTGCTTGCTCAAATTGGTAGTTGATTTGCACCCGACGCTTTGGAAGGCTGTCGGTCTGATCAAATTTTATGGTGGGTAGTAAAGCGGTGTGTATATTGTGTTGCTCGCTTATTTTGTTGAGTTTGAGTCTTGCTTCTGCCAGGAAAGTTTTCATCAGATTAGCACAAGAGGAGTCTTCAGGAAGCTGTATAACGGTGACTAAGTATCCATCTGAACAAAGCAGAAGTGGTAACGACGGATGGGTAGAAACAGAGAATTTCTGTTTCATTATATCCACTTCTGACATCATAGAACTGGTGGGTGACTGCGGCTGGTGCTGTTGCTGAATTTTTTCATGTTGTTCCTTTTTAGAGCTGGAAACAATAAATAATTTAATGATAAATTCACAAAAGAATTTATAACGCATTATGTAATCATTTATGGGGTTAATAACACATGAAGACATTGGATTGAAAAAACCAAAACTAAATTAGGGATATATGCAGGTTTGAACTGACAGGCAATAAAGACAATTGCCTACATGTAGGTTCAATTCAATATTCCCTGTATTATTCCAATGTTTCAGGCCTTGAAAACAGATGCTCTCTCAACTCCAATGTATTTATTGTGTTGTATTTATTGTATTCAAAACATTGAGATTCTACAGTTAAAAAAATCTTGTAATTGTGAAAAGTTGTTGCTGCAATGCACAAATCACACTGACCATATATATCCACCAGGACTATTTGATGAAAGAATAACCAATAAAAAAAGCCAGAAAACATGCAAAATAATAACAACAGTTCAACTATTTGAAGTAAACTTTTGTCACACATGTGTCACATTCAAACATTTTCCTTTCCTTTTTGTTCACATCAGATACACCAACAATGACAGGAATATACAAATGAGGGACAAACCTCACAAAATGCTGTTACCGGTATAATTACATGTATGTCAAAACTAGCGGATTTCATTCCTGCAGCTAAGCTTTTCCTGACCAAGCTATGCTGCACAGTGTCAAAGCTGTGATTTTCATTAAAAAGCTACACTTTCATTGGTACCCCTGATGTACATGTATAATTATAAGGTATCACAAGAATAGCGCAAACGCTGCAATCAGGCAGTATGGATCACTTCGACCTCTGTTATGTCAATACAATCACGGTACTGACTTTGCGATATTCTCGTAATATTTTTTTTCTAGAGATTCTGATCAGAATCTATAGCCAGTGGGACATTACATTCATTTAGTTCCAAATTAATAAACACTGTATAGAAAATTACATAAAAAGGTGTAAATCGCTGCAACAACATGTCGGTGGGTAAAATGGTGGTGTTCTAAAAGTTTAAAAGTATGTATTAATGTTTTCACCACCAGTTCCCTCTTTTCAACACAAAATAATCCTGTTTATAGTCTGCAGCCAAATTGATTGAGTAAAAACTGAAAATTTACACAAATTTGGTCTGTTTACTTCAAAATTAAGGATTCATTTCCAGAAATATTGAATAACATTTCCAGAAATATGAAGGAAAGTACAGAAATATTTGGGTGGGAAAGTCGACTGGTGAAAAGGTTAAGCAGGTGTTGATATTGTATTATACAAACTGTGTCAAAATATTGCATTGGGAATCAAGTAATCCAACTCACGTGTATGAAATAAGTGGATGAAATGGCAAATACATATCTGGTCCAAGCTCGACTGAGCATCCCTGGCTTTCCAATCGGACAGGTTCCCCTAGCCTTGTCATTATTGCTAGAGAACCTCTTTTAGTCATACACACTATAAACAAATCATCACATGTCCATTTCATGTCTGTTACCCAAAATGACCTGGAGGAGAAAAATAAGCCAGAGAATAGTAAGTGTACGACTAATAATATATCCTATTCCAAGTTATAGCTACATGTGTGTACAGAAAGTACAGGACAATGAACATATAGGAAGTCTATGATGTATTAGTTTTTTTCGATGTACCAAGTTATCCTATAAACAATGCTGGTTGAATTTGCTCAAAAAACAAAAGTTTTCAACATAAACATACTAGAGGGCACTATAATTCAGCTGACTTTATTACATACAGACTTACCTCGCTAGATTGGGAGGCGGGTTTGGAGCTTTAGTACCACATCCTTTCAAATCAGAAACCTGTGCAGTGGATGTCAGTAGTGATATGAATATGACTCTGTTATTATGGGGAGATCTCTGATTGGCGGCAACAGCAAGGGTGAGACCATCGTGGGAATGAGCTATGCGGTACGCTCCCCGTGCTCTCACTGGTCTACATCCACTAACTATTTGAGCAGTCGGTGTTCTAAAACTACTCCACTCAACAGTGAAAGAGGGATTTCTGCACATGAAGAAAAGGATACAAAGAAATATTATAAACTATCACCAATTATTATAGCGTTATTGTATCAAAATGGTAAAAAAAATACAAAATACAAAACATTGATTAATTTTTAAATTATCAGTTTTGACTGGCAACGTAAATGACAACAAAAATAAAATGATTAGAAACAACTACAAATGTACAGCCTGGCTTTTATTTACCCAAGAGTGACATTCACTACTCTAGTATTCTAGCCATGTCAGTAAGGATAAAGTCCGAAATAAAATATCATGGAACCTCAATTATTGATGAAGAGAAAGCTGAAACAATAAACTCCTGACAATTTACAAAGCTTTCTATAAAGATTTTGTAATTAAATTATATAGATATTATCAGTACTAAAGGTAAGTGAAATAAAAATGACAAAACACATAATCCTAGTTTGCTATCCACATTCATTTACTCACCCTGCTGACTTGATGTCTACATGTTCCAGCCATCTCAGGACTACAGACGTCACTTGTATCTTATCGTCCACATTAAAGACAAATGAACAGACACAGCAATAACCAAGTACCTACGGGTAACAAGAAGATATGTATAACGCAATAAGATTTTGATAAAAGACGATTGGTGGTAGAGATGCATTGGCAACAAAGTAAAATGTTTGCTTTTAAAATAAAAATGACAGTCTGTCGTCAACACAATTCATATTTTAACCATTCAGTATACAATAATCATAATTTTTAGTTTAAGTGTACTTCTATTAGAGTTAAAGGGAGGAGGTTGTAGCACACCTCATGTTCAAATTTTATGTATACAAACAATGTATTTTAATGTATTTATGTATGTAGTGTTGTAAACTTCACTAGTATGGGACCCATATCAAAAAGAATGTGGCGTGACAAACACAGCCCTTTAATATAGTATTTATTTTTTTACAGTCACTATTTTAAAAATTCTATGGCATATTCAGAAGTGAAATTTAGCATGCAAATATTACCAAAGTTCAAGCATGATGAGTGTGCCAATAGAAGTAGTGGTGGCAGTGACATGTAACTGGACATAACAGTAGGTGAAGTTTACTTTGATATGGAAATCAAATCATAACAATACGTAATTTTCTTCTAGATATCATTCTCATATACATGTTAATAAATAATGTAAACTGTTTAATTTTGACTGCTAGTAATTACTACAATTTGATGGCTTTTTGATGGTCAAAATTTCATAAAAGACTTTTAGACTAGGTGCTGTCTATTATCGTGAGACTTTGACAAATCTATGAATAATAGACTAGTGAATTAGTCTAGAAGGCCTCATGTACAAGTCAGTATGGGCAAGTGAGTTGCTATGGTAATGCACTGAAGTCATGGAGACAGCCAATCAGTGATGAGATAGAATTCTGTGTCGTCTATATATTTACATAGCATTTCACTCGGCCATTCTTGAGAGCACTGGGATACTCTGAATGGCTGGATTTCAGACTTAGTGTGAAAGTCACTGTGACTTTTAGAACCCATCAAAACCCATCATAATTGCCACTCATATGAAATGTTGTGATTGTCATAGACAACATTTGAAATCTGACTTTTTGGATTTTTGGTTCATGATCCTGAAATTGAGTTTGGAAGGCACTTCTAAAATTAAATAAAGTGAACTTTAAGTGAAGCAAAATTATCGCCATGTTAATTATTACCATATTTTTAATCCAGGAAAATTAACCACTGATTTGTACCTTCCTAAATGTTCATTGTAGGCATTCCCACCTGAACCAATTAGACTCAAGGCTGAGAAGAACTTGGCAGCCACAGCCAATCACAAGCCAGTGTAGTCTTAAGGTAGCGAGAAGGGAAATTTTCACTTTTTTCTTGATTTTTCAAAAATTGATAAAACGGTTACTTTAGACCTTGATACATCATTCCAGGTTTACAAAAGATCGAAATTGTGAAATACCGTTGCTTAAATTAGTGTTTTAAAACGCTAGCAGAAAAGACTGCAACTGCCGTTTTGTGGATATTTGCATATAATGTTTATCTTTGGAAGGGTTTAAATGATAACATCTTATCTGTATACTCTGTTGTTGACGATTCTGATATAACGGGTGATAAGCTTCCCGTCGCAAACAATGCGTGTTTATCTAACGTCCATTGTCAGCATTATTGTCAGTTGAGACTTCGTCGGAGAAACATGGTCATACAGTACTCATTTCGCCCAACCTTCCGCTTTTACTCGACCGCTTATCGCTTAATTTCCGACCATGCGATCTTGTCCGAAACCAACCGCATTTTAATCGCGTTTTTTGCTTATTGAAACACCGACCGCTCGCCCAAACACTGATCACGAGCACATGAGTGGTCGAAATAGTGGTTTTGATTGTAAAGTGTGAACATACAACTAGTATTAACTATTATTAAATTCTGAACGGCACTTCAAATCTAATATGGCACTTGTATCGTGAAAGCAACTGAACTGTTCTAGATGTAATATTTTTTATTATTTTAATGAGACAGAAAAAAAGCATAGGTAACTCATTTTGACAGCCTGAGAGCAGAGAAACGAGGAAGTGTTAATGATTAATTCCAAAAATAACGATACCAAATCCACGTCAGCCGGTCTGGTAAAATTTGACATTCAATTTTCAAAAATAAGTCACGATCATTGAATGAGTTCAGTCTATGTGACCGTATACGTACCCTAAAAGTGTTCCCACAAGCACAGTCCCTCTATCCAGACCGGGGATAGAGGGACCGTGCCACAACAAATATTTTCGACTAAAAACGGCCACATGCCCTGAAAAAATCAAACAGAGCTTGACATGTATGAATAACTTATTGGGCTAAAAAAAAACGTGTCAAATTTAGTTATAAATATTTGGTAACCAGTCGATGAACAATTCGAAACTCAGGATTCACACGGAAGTCCTTCAGGGTTGAAAATTATCGACCCTACTCTGGTTTACTTTATTTCCCAACTTGCAGAGAAAACTGATTCGCCGTGAACTCTAATGTATCTCAGCCTAGTATTTTCTTTTTGAACTGAGGTCAAATTCCACCCGTTTGTCAAAATATACCGATGTTTTTCAGCGAATAGTTTTGAAGCCTGTCACAGCACAAAAAGACTATGTGAATCGACACCGGAAATTGGATGGTACGATGACCCTTCAATTAGCGTCAAATATGTTTTGTTACAACATCATTGATTGGCTGAAAGTCACATGATCGGAACACG